CTCCCCCCTCCTCTCCCATTCTCTCTCTCTCTCTCTATCTCTCTCTCTCTCTGTCTCTCTCTCTCTCTCTATCTCTTTCTCTTTTTATTATTTTTCTCTCGTACACTCTCTTTCTCTATCACACTATCAATTGGTAATACTCTTTCTTTCTCTCACCCCCTCACTTGTCTTTCTCTCCCCCTTACTCACGCTCTCTTATAAAGTATTTCAAAATTCACCAGCACGCACTCAAGTTTGCACGCTCTAATAAACACACGCGCATTACAAGGCGAGCAGTCTTCAACTAATTACTGATTAACCCACCATTTCCTCAAATGTTGACGGTAAAAACACTCCGCTGAACTCTGATTGACAGACGGTGGAAGGGAAAGAAAACGACGGGGAAAAAGATGAAGAAAAGACCGTAATCAAATAAAACATACATGACCCTCTCTCCCTTCTCGACGGGTCGATATCATGGCGCATTTAACCCACCTGAAAAACACAAAAAAGACAACAATATGATATTTCGCCATTATAGTATGGAAAATGAAAGGAGCAGAAAAATAAAAAGAAGAAGAAATAACATAAAAAAGACAAAATGTCTTAAAAGAGTTTTGTAAAGTGCTCGTTGTTGAGAGCGCCTTTAATAATACGGCACTTTATGTACACTTTAGACCCCGAAGATGCTTTTATGAACTCGACGCGAACGCGTGCGCGTCAGTGCACTTTGGTGCACCTTTAATTGTGCGCAGTTTCCCCCAGAGAAGAAGAAGGCTAATGTCTCGTATTGATCTAAGCTGTCGCGACAATGGCTGCGGTTCAAAGCCAGGGCAGGTGATGGGGGACACTTTGCTAAATGTTTGATTGCGTCTTGCTCTGACATCCAAGTGCCACATACGGTTGCCTGGTGTTGGGAGAAGCCTCATGCTACATAGGGCCGGCGTCCTAGCGTTCCCACGTTCCGGTGGTTATGAAAAGGTGTAGGGGGAGTCAATATTGGCACACACCGTGGGATCGCATTTGGCTTTATTTTATTTGTGTGTGGGGGGACGCAGTCGGGGGTGCAAAGGGGCGGGGGGCGTCAGAATTTATTTCTGAATGTTTTGTTTTTGTTTGATTTCTTTATGAAGATGATGGGAAAGGGCGTCGGGGTGTATGAAATTGTTTCGTTTTTGTGTGGAGGAGACAGACGGAGACCAAGAGAGGAGAGAGAATGAAAAAAAAATGAAAGGTGGAGTTAACGAATATTTCTGTGTATTTATGGGTTTGTGTGTTTGTGTGTTTGTGTGTGTGTGTGTGTGTGTGTGTGTGTGTGTGTGTGTGTGTGTGTGTGTACGTGCGTACGAGCGCGTGTGTTTGTGTATGTATAATTTACTGTGCATGCCTTATGTGATTATCGGAGCAAATACATAATGTATGTGTGAAGGTGTATTCATTTATTCTCTCACCGATATGTTTTGTCAATAAGAGTGCCTCTATCCCACAAAATGAAGGCCATAAATCTTCTCCAGACAATCTCTTTAGCCTGGAACTTCAGACAAAATCTCTTGAGTTTTAGACTCAACGCAAATTAGGTCTAATCTTTGTCCGCGAGTCATCAGACGATGTAACGAACGAATAGCAGCACCAGCAACTTTAACATCAACAATAATGATGATGATGATGATGATGATGATGATAATAATAATAATAATAATAATAGTAATAATAATAATAATAACAATAATAATAATAATAATAA